TAATTGTGCTCTTCGTAACTGCAATAGCAGGAATACAATTCATAAAAATAAATCAACAGAATTAACATTTCATGGGTTACTAGACAAAATGACAACAATACACAGGGTAGTATTTAAAAAGTTCATTTTTTTATTTTGCTGATTTAAATAGTTTTACGGTAATTATATAATATACTTTTTTTGTTATTTTATAATCGTTTAGATATTCCATTTTATGCTGTGCAAGTCTTAATTGTGTTCATATAATAGAAATATGGCAGAAAACTGTATATGAAACTGATAAATATTTTAACTAATAAATAACGCCTAAATAAGAAATGTTTTAAGATTTTCTAAGAAATAAAATTATGAACTATAATATTATGCCAGTCGCTCTGTCAGATTTTTCCAAATTTATTATTGCCTATATAGCGGAATTTAATGTTCATATGTTAAAAAAAAAATATTTTGTTTTGATTATATATCTGCTTTGACAAGTGACACGAGTGATTTGTATCTATTCTCTTTGATAGCTCTGTATCTATATCTGAAACGTGTGGAGGGTGAGTTAACTCACGGCACTTAGGGCTTACTAGGCCATTTGTACATCCACCTAAATAGATAGGTATCTTCTAGCTCGTGAGCCAGCCTACAGATTTAATGGAATTAACAACGTCACCAAGAGGTGCTTCTTTTATATCGGCCGGTGTTATCCAACTCACAAAAATCTTCTAATGAATGAGAGCATCAGGAAATCGTAGAGGATATGCTCAATAGTCTCATCTTTTTGTTCGTGCCCCCTGCAGAGTGCGGATTCTGACACCCCTATGACATGGAGATGCTTCCGTACTGGGCAAAGGCCAGTCCGAATACTTGTGATCAAGCGCAGATTCTGTCTAATCATAGTCAAGTATTTGTATGATGTGGTCTTGTCAGGATAACTTAAAAGCTCCCTGACAAATCTGCAGCTTCTTGTTTTATCCCATCTTTTCTTAAATTTCACAAATGAATGTTCTTTACTTAGGTTTGTTACTAGCGATTTGTCAGTCCTATAGAAGGGTCCAAAAAATATTGGGTTGGCTGCCTTCCTAGCTAGTAAATCATCAAGACAGTTACCTTTTAATGTGACCTGAGCTCTGGTCCATCTTAAGAATACCACATATTTGATGGATACTTTGGCCAAAGTTTTATGACATTCTAGTCCTGAGTAAATTCGTGGTATGCCCAGGGTGAGGAGTGCTTGTCTGCTATCTGTATAGATGAGCATGTTCCTTACAGTAATATTGTTTCTGGTGATTTATTTTGCTGCCACGAGAATCCCCGTCAGCTCGGTTTGAACTACAATAGCACTATTGCTTGTAGCCTATTTTATGTTTAGGTTTAAGGAATAATTTACTCCAGTATCCACATACCGAGCCTTGTTTTGTTTTAGAATTGCCGGTGTAGATATGAATCATAATTGCTACTTCTGACTCTTCTATTTGTTTTATTATAACTTTGTATGGCCGACGAAATGTATATCTTCGTAAGATAGAGTACATGTTCGCTTTAAGCAAACGCCTCCTGTCATAAGCGACATCTTGCTTCACTAGATGCTACATAAAGTCCTATTTTAACCATCTGGAGACGTGTCATTTTCATCAGGACAACCCCTTTGGTGTAAGTATTAAGGGGAGTGAGACTAAGAATGACCTCCATGGCTCTGGTCGGTGTGGTTTTCATGGCACCTGTTTTTTTGAGACATGGTGTTCTTTAAATTCGTTTTAGTTTGCAGATAACTGTCAATAGTTTTTGGTACCCAGACAACTGCACCGTATGTAAGTATAGGTCTTGTGATAATAATAATAATAATAATAACGGGTCTTTATTTGCACAAAATAATTACATTTTTGTACAGTTAGCATGGGCGAGGTTTAGCCTGTGGCTATTCTTACACCTAACCCTAACAAAACATATACATTTAAATTACTATAATATTAAAAATTTATCAATACAATTTTACATTAGTAGCTCATTATATCTACCAGTTTACATTTGACTAATAAAGAGTTGCCTTTTTAAAGCATTTTTAAAAACAGGTAGAGATCGTGATTTTTTAATATCGGTATGTAAAGTGTTGTACAGAACAACCGCGTTATACGAAAAACTACGATTATAAATAGCACTAGAGTGACGAGGCATTGATAAATTAAAATTGTTTCTTATGTTTACATTGTGCGTAAACGATCTAAAAGTTAATTTGCTCATAAGATATAATGGTGACGCAGTAGAAAGTATTTTAAAAAGAAAAGAAAGGAACATAAATATATATAAATTATTAACAGTTAGCCAGCCAGTTTGGGAGAAGGCTTGGGAAATATGATCGAATTTTCTAAGTCCTTTTGCGAATCTGCAGCATGTATTCTGCATAATTTGCAAACGGTTACGATCAGCAGCTGTTAAACAAGGATAATACACAACAATTCCATATATTTTTGAAATTACAAGGCTTTGGCAAAGTTTTAGTTTTATAGATTGGTTCTGTAGGATGTGCTTATTAGAATAAAGCAAGCGAAGACCACTATAACACTTTTGTAACACATAGTTGACATGTTGACTGAACCTCATTTGATCGTCAAAGTATAACCCTAAATTTATAGACTCAGTTTCATGTGGAATAGATTCACCAGATATCATCAGAGTTGTATTGTTCTTTATATATTGTCTAACATTTTTACTACAGAATAATAATAGTTTGGATTTCGAAGCATTAATGTGAAGGTTATGATCAGACGAATAGTTATCAATTTTTTTAAGATCTTGATTAATCTTATCAACTGCAGTAATGACTTCATTCGACGAAAAATCGAGGAACAGCTGAGTGTCATCAGCAAAAAATTGGACTGCACAATTATTTACGTGTTTGTAGAAATCCGAAGTATAGAGTAAGAAAAGCAGGGGCCCTAGGACTGAACCTTGTGGTACACCAGATTTGATTTGAATGGATGTTGATTTCTGACCGTTTACTGTAACTAACTGTGATCGTTTACTTAAGTATGTTTTTATGAAACCTAATGAAATTCTATCAAATCCATAATATTGACACTTGGATATAAGAAGACTATGATTAATGGTGTCAAACGCTTTGCTAAAATCTAGTAGAACTAGGACACCTGCTTTTTTCTTATCAATACTATTGAAAATATTGTCACTTAAATGTGCCAAAGCTGTTGAAGTACTGAAACCCTTTTGAAAACCCGACTGATGCAAAGGGATTATATTATTTTCACAAAGATATTCGTATATTTGGAAATAGGCTGCACGTTCAAGAATTTTTGAAATTAGAGGCAGTAGACTTATTGGACGCAGTTCATTGTATGAACTAGGATTGTGCTTTTTAGGTAAGGGTATTATCAAAGCCTGTCTCCAACATTCTGGGAAATATCCTTGTTCTAAACATAAGTTTATAATATGTAGCAGATAAACATCAATAATATTTAGACACAATTTTAACATTGACATGTTTATATTGTCATTACCACCAGCATTTGATTTTATATTCAAAATGATAGTGTAGAGTTGAGATAGTGTTATTGTTTTGAAGTGAAATTTAATATCTCTACTAAAGGAGTTACTTCTATAAAATAAAATTGAATCCAAGCATCTTTCATTACTGTCTTGGAACACAGAGGAAAAATATTCATTAATTTTAAAAGGATTGGAAAGTGAGGAAGGTAAATAGATATTTTTTGTCGATTGAATTTTCATTTGTTTTAGCGCTTTGTAAAATTTAGAAGATGACTGGTTGTTTAAAAATTCTAGATACGCAGATTTTTCTCGTCTCAAGGATGCTAAAGCAAAGTTGCGAAGTCTTTTGTAATTGTTCCAGTTTTCAGTGGATTTATTTAATTTAAATTTTTTTAGGGCAGTATCTCGTTCTTTAAATATGAGTTTTAATGTAGGAGTTAACCAAGGTGCTTTAGGTTTACTTATTCTAGCTGTTCGAAAAGGAGCGTGTTCATCGAAAATTGTAGATATTGCATCTGTTAAATAGCGTACCTTACTTTCAATATCATTAAGATACAGAAGGTTATCCCAATGAATACTGCGTAGGCATTGCTCAAAAACTGAATAATCAAAGTTTTGATAATCTCTATAAGTTAAAAATCTTTGTTTCTGATAACTATAATCAATTAATAAATCGCAATATACCATTTGGTGATCGGTGAAATGATCAACATTTATAGTACCATGGCTTGTGCAATTATTGTAACAGTTTAAAAAAAATTGGATCTATTAATGTAGAGGAGTGATCAGTAATGTATGTAGGCTCGTCTATGACTTGAGTGAGGCTATGGGCATTAAAACACGAAATTAATGAATTTGTACTGTTAAAAAGATCCACATTAACATCCCCAAGAATTAAAATTTTATCACAACTTGTAAGTATGATTGGTAAAATATTATCTAAACAATGTATAGCTTGATTTAAATTTTCCCGCGGTGGTCTGTACAACACTCCAACACAGAAACTATCATTATTAATTTTAAAATTGATCCATAAATGCTCTAAACAAGAATTAAAATAATTATTATGAAAATCTATGATTTTGAAACTCAAAGAAGACCTAATGTAGATGCCAACCCCTCCGCCATGGCGATTGCGATCATTACGAACAAACGAATATCCCCGAATATTTACATCGGAATCAGAGACATCAGATGACAATCAGGTTTCCGAAACCGCCATAACATCAAATTCATAATTATTTATGATATTTATCAAATCAGTGATACTAGTTAGTAATGATCGCGTATTTACATGGCCAATGCGTAATTCACATTTACTAATTTTTTTCTTAACCATAATTAATTTTAGATTTAAGACGATTTAAATAATTTATAAATACGGGACAAGTTTTATCATCAGCGGAGTGACCAGCATCAAATTTCGTTTTAAATTTAATGTTATGAGTGACACAATTGATACATTTTTTTATAGTAGAACTACATGTTCCAGGGTTGTGCTCTTCTGAACATACCCCACATTTTTGTACAAAATTACAATTTTTTTCTATGTGACCAAAAGACAAGCATTTTTTGCACTTCAAAATTCTGATATGATCGCTAAAATAACATTTTTTCCATCCGATATATAAAAATCCTTTTGTAAAAATGAAATTTCTTAAAGAAGGTGTTAGTTCTAAAACTAGATTTATATTATTATAAAATTTTAGTTTTGTGACAATTTTTAATTCAGTTTGACTGAAGTCTTCTAAATCATTTAATGAAAAAATTTCATTTATGATGTCTTCATCTTTATGAGAGTCTTGGAGATCCACATCTTTTAAAACAATACGAGGATTAAATTTTTTTACTGGTTCTGCGGAATATTTAGAACCAAAGATATTAAGAACAGACGATTTTAAATTGTTTAAAGAAGTATCATTTTCACAGTTGACAATAATTCCATTTTTTATCTTACGCACACCCTCAATTTTCACATTTTGATCCACGGGATTAATATTAGATTGGACATCTTTTAGAATATCGATGTTGCTAATGGCACGACTCTGTGATTTTGATTTTATTAATAAACCAGGTTTGTTATTTATAGTTTTTAGTGCACTGCTATAAGAACCTGCCGGTTTATGTTGATAAGATAAGGTATTCGTACTCACTCCGTTATTCATATTGAAATTATGAGGTACCAGTTTTTCCTTCAAAAGATCATTGTTGCATTTCAATTCATTATTTAGCGACTTCAGTAGATCATTTTCTTGTTTTAAAAATGTATTTTCTCGCTTAACAGCTTGATAATCAGAGATTGTATCTGCCATAACGTCTTCACAATCAACACAAACCCAAAATACACCATCATTTTTAGATAAAAGTTTCACTAATTCATCTTTAATACGAACACAAGTTCCGTGAAAATACTTATTACAATTATATCAACGTAAACGAATAGAATTTACTATAAAATTGTCTGAGCAACGTGAACAAATAGGTACATCGCTCGCCATCTCGACTTGACTCGAATACACCTATGCAGTCAAGTGATGGCCGTGGTGTAAGTCAGGTGCGCCCCACGGTTCGACGACATTGTTCATAAGCAACGTACGCTTTTTTATTCGGATTTATATTCTTTTATAGATACAAATAAAATATACTATATTATTCCACAACAGATGTTTTAAAGATATGTATTCAAAGCGACAAAATTTAAATCATATAAGCAAATGTTAGCCGCATCTAGAGTCAATATAATCCTCACACAATTTGTAAGAAGAAATATTTTTTTAAATTTACTAGTACACGGTTATGATCAATCAGCATTGGATTAACTTCGGATATTGTTAATAGAAGCTAAGGCAGATAAGTACGTAAATGTCATATCATTTTGCCAAACAAAATTCAAATAAATATGAGAGCCAAGGATATCACAGTTTTTTTAAAGCACAATACATTTTTATTTTTTAAAAACGTGTTTTTCTTCCAATTTAAAACACGCATTGCCTATTTATAAGACCCTAGTTAAAAAAAATATAAGCCACGCCCAGTGAAACGTTTTATCTCTGTGCGAAATAATAATTTTAGCGTCTCTTTAGATTATTACCTCAACGTTTAACAGCGACAAAAAAATCTCGCGGTTGCCGTGTTAACACCAAAAATTTTGGAACCTAAAAATGTTGATAAGGTCTAAGGATTGTAACGGTTGAAACCGTTATTTCGTTATTTCAGACACAATCATCTCTTACTCAAATGTCATTTGTCGCCTATGCTTTGTGTCAGAAGTACTGACATTTTAATTTTAACATACAGCGACGACTAGGTCACTTCTATTTTGATTTTATTTGGGTCATCCGAAGTATTAAATTTTATTTATTTATGTTAATGACCGTCTGATTTTATAAGGTACTTTTGTTAATAATATAGTATTAAATATTTATTTTGTGCAATGATTTCTCATAACATAACATAACCTCTACAGCAATAAATGACCCATGTGTTAGTTTTAAATAAAATTATAAATTATTTTTTGGAATAAGATATTATGCTTTACTAAATTTAAATATATTAAATAAGATTTTTCCTTTTTATATTAATTTTAGTTTCTGTGAAATTATTCATTTAATAGCTAAAGCATTGTATCTACATCCTTAACAAATCGCCACCTGCATTAACTAACATTGTAGCCGATGATCGACGAAAACAATGGCCAGTATATTCCTGGGGGTTTGGTAGTTTTAAAAAAGTTGCTATTTCTTTAGCCATACTTCCGATTTTATTAATTCCTACTACCTGTTTCGTGCATTTTTCATTTTTGTAATTTAAGAAAAATCTCTTTTCTGTAATATTAGGAAGCCGCAGACTAGCATATTCTCTGCAAATATAATAAAACCTTCCTGTCCTAGTAAAAGATCGAGATATCTTATTTTTAGTATGTCTGATTTTAACTAAGAAAGCGGACTTTAGATCTTGCATATTATCGATTTTCATCTGGCATAATTACTCTCGCCTACAAGCTCCGGCTAAGCCAACATCAACTACGGTCTAACAATTAAAAAACTTTATTAGATATTTTTATACTTCTAATAAATCTAAAACTTACCTTAGTTAATAAATACATGTTATCTGGAGCCGTATTTAGAAATTTATGAAAATCTTGGGATGTTAGAATTCTTGATTTCTTTGGCACTTAATTTTCTGCTTGCCTCTTCAGATAAGCTAGTAACTTATGATATTTCGAAATATCAATACTGTGTTTGAAGTTTATAGTGTTTTTCAACAGAGAATATTGCGACCACATTGTTAAGGATTTATATTTTTGCGCTTATTCTTCAAAATAAACAAGCAGAACATTCTCTGATAACGATTTTAGGTTTCGTTCATTCTTCCATTTTACAAATGTTTCATAACAACTTTCATATCTTTCTTTTGAAATTAACGGTAGAAGATTTTGCGTGATTTGGGAGGCTATTTCAAGTATTTCTGGAGGAGTGCAGTTAAACTAATCTTCTATCATCGTGTAACACTGCTTTTTTTCTAAATTTGAAATAAATTTGACTTTGTTTAAATGAGAACTGTCAGTAGTGACAATAGCCGCATGCTAGATTTCATCTCGATTCATTAGTTTTGTATTATTTTACTTTTCACACTGTGTGTGAAAACGTTTCTACACGCTGTTTGAATTTGACATTTTTCGAGGGAAGTTGGTAGTGCGTTTTTGTGTATATTCTAAGCAGCCGTAGGAAAAATTTTATTTTATTGGAAATAAATTACTGCATGGCCAACTGCAAAGAAGATTCGAGATGTCGAATAAAAAAAATTGGTAAATAATATAAGGAATTTTGTAAACAAAAAATACCTAAATTAAACTAGTTTTCAAAAAAACATAATTGACAGTTTCCGGTTCGCTTCAGAAAAGTGACTTGTTCACATCCCAAATTTGACAACTACATCAAGTAAAAAAATCTTTAGTATATTCTAAATTGTTATAAATGCCACAAAATTTTAGTTAAAAATATAGTCCCAGGTACTTTGATCTTTGGATTTTGTAACGCCTGTACACGCCAAACTTCCTGAGGCGGCTTCATAACACCTAGTCGGACACATTTTTTCGTATACTTTAAGAGGAGTATTTACTTGGCTGTAGAGCGGAGCATGAAAGGGTTTCGTAGTACCCCACTTTTAAAGTTTATTTTTGACTTATTCTGAAAGAAAAAAATATGTACGTGTAGGTAAAGGTTAAATCTATGCTCCTCTGGAAACACTTTTTTAAAATTTGAAACAGTTTTTTCTAAAAAAAAATACAAAACTCGACTTGTTTTACCCATTTTCTCAATTTTTTTTAGAAAAAACTCAATTGAATTTTGAAAAAGTGGTTCCAGAGGAGCATAGATTTAACCTTTACCTACACACATATATTTTTTTATTTTAAAAATAGTCAAAAATAAACTTTAAAAGTGGGGTACTACGAAACCCTTACATTGCAAGATTTTTCGTCTGGAAAGTGGCGCCTCTCTTAGATTTTTAAGAAATTAATATTTGTGAATGAAAACAATTTATAATATATTTTACTGATGTTTTACGAAGGATGAATAAATTTTACGTATTTGTACACCTTATCTTTTACGTAATTTATTTCTATAATACTAAGATTGGAATATATATTATATGCAAGGGTTTCATAGTACATCAATTTTACGGATTATTTTGTAATTTTACTAAAAGAAATTTTATGTAAGTACAGGTAAAGGCTTAACTCATACCTCTCTGGATTTATTTTCAAAATATGAATCAGTCTCTTTTGAAAAAATCTAAGATAAGGAACGAAAAGAAATAGAAATGTTAAAAAATGCTAGAAGAGAACAATATATTTAATTTTTTCCTACAGGAGCATTTATTTTTATTACAATAAAAATAGAAATACGTTAAAAGCTTTTTCATCTAGAAGGTGTTACCAACAAAATATATATCTTTTTCTATTTAGTGAGTGATTTGAATTCATGTTGTTATTTTTTACATACAGTAATTTCGCTCAATTATATTAAATTAATTTTATCAATTATTTATAAAAAAAAATATATATACGAAATTGGAAGGTATACACTGATATGTGAATTATATGTTTCTGTTTAATGAATACTTCTTCGAGTTACCAATAATTATTAATTCCAGCATGTTAATATCTCTTCAATCCGTTAAAGTAATGTAAATATTTTTTCTTGCTTTCGCGCATGGCTTTGATTTGTCGCACCCTTTGAGGCGCGTTGCAAGAGAACATTTTCTAAAAAGTTAGCCAATGTCTATAAATGAGAAAAACGATTGTGACAAGCTGATTGTACATTGTGGCACAATAGAAGACGGAAACGAGTCACTGCTTTAAAATTTGGAGAAATTTGTAAAAAATCTCGTAAAATCTTTTATTTATTTCTAAAGCCACCCGATATGGCATGGACCATAAATTCAAAACAAAATAAGATTTGGAAATTTATTTGCAAGTAAAACTTTTTAAATGTGGACATTTTATTGAATTCGAATTTGATTATGTTGCTGCCAGTCTGGATAGAATTAAAAAAAAAACAAAACTATGATAGAGTTAAAATGTCCATATGGGGCTGAAGTGCGGACTGTAGCAGAAGAAATATGCAGTAGAGAAATAACTTTTTGGAAAAAGAACAATTCCATTAAGGAGAACCACTATTGGTATTTTCAAATTCAGGGCTAGCTGCACATAACACAAATGGATTTTTGCATTTTGTGCTTTTGGACTTCTGGAGGAATAGAAGTGGAGAAAATATCTCATATTGACAGCTTTTGAGAAGAAAAGACACAAAATAAAATTAAAATTTTTTATATGCAATATGTCTTGCCAGAACTTGTTGACAGCGAAGCAATAGAGACATGGAAGTACGAGACAGAATATTAAATAATTCGTGAGAAATTTTGTTTAATGTTTATTAACATAACGCAAGGAATCTTAAATTATTTTGAATATTTTTATTAATTTAAGAATTACATTTTATTTATTTCTAAAACATGATAGTAGGCGATCCATATAAGATATGATTAATGTCTTATTATTATATTACACTATTTTAAATTTAGGATTTTACCAGTGGCAGTGGTAATTGATGATAGGTATATAATTATTATTACACCAAATGTTTTAAAAGGCTACACCAACTAGTGGACCACGCTTTTAAGTCCCCAAATAATAGTTTCTAGATTTTGATTCGGATTAGAAGTTTTACTATACAGGGTTTTATGTCAAAGCCAATTGTTATTGTAATACGTAGATGAGTAACTATCATCAATAGAAATTTAAAATTCA